CCCTCTTATATATACCAGACTACCCTATCTAGTAAATGCTAGGGCATTCGTGAAGGAACAAGATAGTTCTAGAAACTAGAGGGCGTGAGAATAGTCACGTGATCTCGATGACGCAACAATATGTTATGAAGTCTACCCTTGATATATACATAGAAGAAATTAACAAAGCCATAGAAAATATGCCTTCATTTTTTGTTACTCGAAATCTATAAAAGAATAATAACATATTGCAGTCAAAATAATAATAAATCATATAATGTGCTAACAACTGCACCTGTGCCATTTTAATGAGACATTTAAATATGCTATTAAAAAATAAAGTATATTCCATTAATGACAGTGCATTAGCTTGCTTTTAATGCAAGTGAAATACCATCCACCACTTTTGTTCAATTCACTAAATCACTAGTTAAAAGATCTAAGTTATCAAATTTGTATAGAAAGCAGCAGCATTGTCTTCAAACTAATATTAAGAATACTCACAATCAGCTACACTCAGGTATTTTCCTTTAATGCTAGGGTTGTCTTAATGTGATACAAAAATCAAATTTAAAATTTTCTGTCTCTAAAGAGGTTTAAAATAAGACAATACAAATATCAGCAATTCTGAATCTAATGTAAACTTAGGCCTACCTCAGCTGTAGACTTCCTCAATCTAAAATGACTTTGGAAAGCATCATCCATGTACTGAGGCATTGTCTTTTACACATAATCCTCCATCTTTGCTCTGTCACTTTTATCAACATTACTGTAGTGCAACTCAACACAAAATGCAATATCATTATCACTGAGTTGTCTGAATCATATGTATCATTATGAACATCAGTAATAAGCGGAAGAACAGCTGTGCAAGCAGACGCTATAGTAACTATTTTATTTTCGATGTATGCCATCTTGGTTAAAGCAACTTTTGGTGGTCTTTCGAAAATAGCCTGCAAGCAATGATGTATTACCCCACTAGCTGACTTCAAGTGATCTGCTGAGTGTGCTTTAGTTTACGTACAACCCTTATGGGCCAAAGTGACATCAATGAAGTAATATTAATAACTACAGGAAGTGTGGTTAACAAAACTGTGGTGTAGAGTTTGAATCATTATGGTTAAGTATAAGTAGAATTTCTGGTAGAAAGTTCTTTTGGAAAAAGAATTTTCATGACCTTTTTCAACATTTGTTTGGTTTTTATAGAGAATCTGAAGATTTTCAAAAATATGACAACAGGATAAACGTGGAAAATTTGGTGTCATATTTCACAGACATAACTTTGTAGAACTAGAAGTTAGAATTTAGACTAAGTTAGAGTGAACTTACCATATGTACTAGTGTATTCATTCACTGTAGAATAAAACGAGAATTAGGACTAATATTAATTGTTAGTGAAGTGAAAAAAAAAAGCTGTGAAATTGTTGCACACAGTATAACTATAACTGTAATATAAAGAATCAATTTTATTAACCATTTAGCATTATATATATTGTACTGTATAACAACATGGCAAATTAGTTTACATAACTTATTAGCTCTACTAGTAGATGTACAGGGTCCATGAAAGTTCTCTGTTTCAAGAGTATATAAAACCAAGATTAAACGAAAAAATATTTTTATTTCCTGCTTTTGAAGATCATGTCATGCTGTGTTGTAGCCAACAGAGTGCATAATTCTTCTCGTTATTCATGGCATGCGCACATTTTACTGACATCACAACAGTACAAATTGCAACAATAAGCATCCCTAATGTGACATTATTTTTATGTCTACTGACTGACTGACAGACAGACAACACACTATTGTATAGTGGTTGAATTGGTTAAAACAGGGGACCTCTCCAGGTGGCCTTTGGGCACATTTTGAGGGAAAAAAACCTTATAGTAGCTATCTACATAAGCTTATTGCTCACTATTGTAAGAACGTGTCTTAACAGTCTATTGAGTATTGCCTATACCTCACTATCAAGGCACCCTTCCTACACTTCAATGAATAAACACATCAATATCACATGTAACTTTCCTACATATATGAGTGAAATTATGTGGAAAATTGAAGAATTTTATAAAGTTACTTCATCATTTTAAAAAAACATATCAATAAAACAGAATTGAAGTCATACCTCTGCTTCTTGAATTGTAGTAGAGGCTTCAAAGATCTCTCTTTCAGCTTCCAGTTTATTAGTAACAGCCTCAGCATGAAATAATGCCAACTTCACCTTCTTCTTGTGTGACTCAAGACAGTTCTAGAAAGAAGAGTATAAACAATACTGATCATTCCTCTTTAACACTTAAAAGTCTATGGGAAGAGATTGTGGTTTTAGACATTTTTTACTGTAAAAATTTACTTTTTATGTATTTGTTTTACTCAACAACAAACCAATTTCTTATTGGTTTGATACAATAATTACATTTTTCTCTACTTTGTATTTGCTATATGCCATTCTTCTTAAAAACCCTCTGGATGTGTTTTGATGTCTAAAATATTTCAATTCTCTCAGTTAATAAAATGATTTGTTAAAGAAACATGTTCAGATAAATCATACTCTAAAATGCATGGATTCTCCATTCTAACCTTTAATTGTCATCTAGTTTCCCATATGCATTTAACCTTACAATCTTTACAAAACCTACATTACACAGATGACACCAGTGCTTATAAGATACTCCAAAGAAAAGTTTCAAAAATTAATAGATAAAGTATTAGAAGAAAGCAGAAGAAAAGGGGCATAATAATAAACTGTAAAAGGATAAGAGTACATAATTATAAGCATGAAAAAGAATGCCTCAAAATGTGAATTAAGTATAAGCCATAAAATAAATGCAAAAGTTCAACTATCTGGGTAGCTTAATAACAGCCAATATTAACAATGATGCTGATACAATGCAGAAGATGAGCAATATACTGAAAGATAGGAAAACAATGGAAACCAAGGTAAGAGAGCTACATTGTTATGTATATCCAACTCTTACATATAGCAGCAAGTGTTGCACAATTCCAACAGTTGTGGAAGGAAGACTACAAGCAATTGAGATGTCGTTTTACAGTAGAATGTTGAGGATATTGTGGAAGGATCATATGACAAATGAGAAGATACTGAGAAGAGCAGGAATACACAGAGATATGATAACAACAATTAGAAGAAGACAGCTTCAATCCCTTGGTCGCATAATGAAAAAATACAAGCAAAAAATTTAGTGGTAACAGGAGAAATTGAAGGAAAATGAAGTAGACATATGCTAAGACTGACTTACATCAGTAGTCTCAGTAAATGGATGAATGTGAGAGAAGCAGAAGTGTTGAAAACAACAAAGAATATAAATCTTTGGAAGGCCATGATTGCTATAATTTTGCCGTAACATTATGTTTAGAGAGAGAGAAGGGGGGGGGATTTACAATTAATTTGATAAATAAACCCAATTTTTTAAAAAGATGTCTCTTATCTGTAGGGTACACCAAAAAATTTTTAAGTAAAGAATAAGCTTAAAAGAAACACCAATATTAATGGAAGAAAACAAACTATTTGATAAACTTTAAGAGCAAAAAAACTTTTTACTAATACTGTGCTCCAAGAATCTGAAGACAGTAAGAAAATTCTTTAAAAATCTGCCAAATTTTAAATACAAATTCCTATATTCAATTCAGTATGATATCTGAGTGGAGTACATTCTTTATGGATTTTAGGTAAACCACATATTATGTAAATGTGTGAGCACAAAGGCCTCAATATTTAAAAAATAACGCAATTATTTAATCTCATCCTTCTTTCAAGACCGCAAATAATTATAGTTGGTTTTAGCATGTGGTAAATTGGGTCAAAGCCTAGTGTTTTAAACTTACACGTGTTAGTTAAAATGTTACAGATTTTGTTGATACTAACAACCTTATTTGTAAGTATAGCACAGTTCCTCTGTCTGGATGCTCTAATTTTTGTTTAATTTCAGCAGAGCAGAAAACTGTTTTTAATAAAGATGTGAAGATTAAACTTAGAATTATAATCATAGTAATGTAAAGCTAAGCAGAAAACATGAATCTGGGAAATAGAACTAGATATATTAGACTTATCATCAACGTTTGTTTTCTAGTTGTTCAAGTAAGAGGTGAAATGGTACAAGAAAACAAAGATTTTTAAGGTGTTGTCATAAAGCAAAATTGATATCTCATAAAAGTGTTTGTTTTTAACCGTGAGTAATAATAACATGAAAGAAAGTAATGTAATAACAGGTGATTTAGAAAACAATGAATACTTGTATCCCTACAGAGACAGTGAATGAACTTTTTCAAATATTTTGATCTTGCACAATTAAACAGAACAAAATAATATGTTCATACTGGAAACCAATTTGACATACAGATCGTGTTTAAGAATAAGAGAGTTTAATTCAACCCCTCTTTTGTTTTGACTAACTTCTAAATAAAAACATATTTTCAGATGCAGCTTTTCTTTTATATATGTCTTAAAGTAGCTGAATACAGCAGAGTGGCATTTGAATTTAGAAAAGTTAACATTTTCCTACACTGAAATTGTATTTCCAATAGACACTTTCTTCCCCTCACTTCATAGCTTGTCTTGTTCAGGATTGCCCTCTATATGCACAATTTTTGCTTGTCACTAACCTTGATGCTCCCACCTACCCTCACTTGGTATAACTACACTGTAGCATGCAATAACCCCCCACCAATAGGAGTGTGTCACACTCTCCTAGCACAGCCGACTTCCTCTATACGATAGAGCACTATAATCACTTCAAGATTGGGCAAAAGGATGCACCGTAAGTGGGAAGGGCAGTTGGGATGTGTGAGGGAGGTAAGTATCTATCAGAAATACATTTTCAGTGAAGGAAATTTAACTTCCAATACAATACCTTACCTCTTCCTACATAATAGCTAGAGTCCCACATTGAAACAGTGGAAGGACCAGGGCAAAAATACCTAGATAAGCCTTCTTCAGAAGGTGCCCAAAAAGAACCCATGCATATCCTATTGGAAGGGTCACACTTGTGGGAGACCACACCCCATCTATACCAGGTATATTATTTACCTGCTGTAAAGATACGTGTCACTAAATTTGGCAGAAAAAAAACTTGCATCCAAAAGGAAATCAGATGCACTAGAAGGTGTAGAATGGCTCTGGTGCATCAGACCATAATTGGTGGTCAACTCCAGTTCAAAACCAGGCAGTGTAGGGAATTTCCCAGCTGGTCTGCAGTAGGAGGAGGGTCCCTACTGTTTTCACTTCAGGTCCAAGAACTGGAACGGAAAATGAACTTCCTTTCTGAAAACCCAGATCAGGCATTTGTGCAGACTCAGATACAACCAACACCAGGCCACCAAATAACTGAACATCCATGTGACAGTAGGAAAGGGAATGCAATATGGTTGATCAATTCCAGTCCAAAACCTTTTATTGTCCAGTCTGTGGTAGGAAGAGAGTACCTACCAACCATATGTGTGAGGACTTATGTTGGCTGGTACTGTGATACTCTACCACCTGGCCACCCAAGCAATAAACATCCAGGAGGCAGTAGGATGGTGGAAAGCCAGCCAGAGGAGTGAACTGAATATGGCAGATTTGTCCAGTCCAAAACAAGGTGGCATCAGGTATTTTCTTCCAGTCCATGGTAGAAGAAGAATACTTACCATCCACACCAAAAGAATGTTACAGTTTCATTAACCTCGTAACCATTTTGTACTCGTTATAATTTCTGGATAATAACTTTTAATACAGTACGTATACCTTCACAAAATTTGGCAGACTTTTAGTAAACACTACAAATCTGTTCTTTATTGAAGTATTTTTACTAAATACTTATCCATGAATATATATAAGCTTTTTTCCCCCACTATTTCGAGTACAAAGTGACTTTCATGTTAAGATTAAAAATACTTATCTTCATCTCAAAAATCTCAAATTTCATTTGCATAATCTCTCAAACATCCTAAATAATTTTCAAATGTTCTTCTATCAGTAAAACTTTATATTTTATCTCTTATTTTCTCTACTCTAACTCGATACGAGGTTGGTCAATTTGACTGCCCTCCTAACCACTATAAAAACACAAATTTGAAATAAATCTAAATTACCCTTTTTTCTTTCTAAAATGACTTCAAACTGTAACATGAAATATTCATTTATCCTATATACCTTTAAACTTGTAACAGTATACATTTACTTATACATAAATTTTATTGTTTAATGCCCTTTGAACCATGTCTAACTACTATTCCCACCATTATAAGTTGTAAATCACTTGGAAAATGTGCAGCTCAAATTGCACTATTGAATGACATTACACATGAGCTACTCATGAGCATACCTGCTGAAAATTTTTTACTATTATTATTATCCATTTTATCTAATCAAATCTTAAGTAACATAAAATTTCCAATTTTTTACATTTTAGTTACTTTTATAATAATAAATAAAGAATACACATGAAAAACAAGAAATAATGTACTTATCTGGATGTTCTCTTTTTTGTTGTCAACTGTTGAGGACACTTAACCCTACTTTTTTATATTAATGGTAGGTTGGACTACATAAAATAAATTTTTATATAATTAAATAATGCAACAAAAAACATAATAATAACATGCAAAAAGCAGACAATGTTCTCATAAATATCACAATTTTTCTAGCTTTCTAGCTATTCAACAAGAGTCGTTAAAAATTCATCTAAGCTTGTTGATGTGTTTCCTGTGGGAATAAAGCTTGAACTAAAATTGACAAGTCTTTGTAGATAAAACAATGTAATATAATACATCATTTGATAAGTGAAAACCTTGGCTTTCTATTGGTTATAAATAATATATTATTGAAAGTCAGAGAGAACTATTGGCAATATCTAAAAGAGAGGATGTGACGGGTGGGTGTGGCAAGAGAGGGCTGAGTTTTTATTTGATTGCTATGTAACCAAAAAAGATTGAAAGCTATAAAAATTATGCTTTGCTAGAGCGATAACAACATTTAAATGAGTAATTTACATTATATTTCATACTTCTTAGTGGGAATTTATAAATTAGAGAAGAGGGGATGCCTAGAGAGAAAATGTTATAATTTTCATACTAGGGGATATTGAGGATTTTATTTTAATTTTGCCTTATAAAATTAAGAACTTAAAACTTATATATTATTAAAATATGGATTATTAGCTCTGTTTTTTATGCTCTATTTACAGGTGTACCATAAAAAGAAAGTAATCTAATTAAGTTTTGACTGTAACTCACTAAAACCTTGTGACATGT